GAAACAGGGAGTATGAGAATCCTCTTGGAAACTTGCGGACTGAAGTTAATGATATTGAAATTGGTGAAGGTTCCAGTAATTTTGATGTGCAACAGTGGCTAAGATGTCGAGCTTGATAATTGGAAAGACACTCCTTTCTTGGTTAGCCAAGGAGGAGTTTTGGTAGTTTATTTTTTGTCATTTATGTTATTTGGGTTATTCTAGGGTTGTACTCGAGATATTATCTTGTGGCCCATACCCTTCTTCTTCTTATTTTTGCCTGGTTCGTTTAGTTGTAGTAACTCGTCTAGTGTTATCTAGGATTGTTCCATGGTTGTAACCCATGTCTATTTCTTCTTTTGTTCAAACCTTTTTCACTATCTGTCTAATGCAATCTCTTATTTTCTGGTAGTTCTAGTTAGTTTTTGTTTAGGTCACTTTTCTTTTTATAGTTCTTTTCCTAGTGACATGACATGCATGCATAGTTCCCAGCCTGGTCTTGAAAGTTAGTTTAATCATAAAGCAATGACATAGTTTTTAATATGATAAAAGGATGTATTTGAGGAAACAAGTAAAGATTCACGAATTATGAGATAACCTGAAGCTTGAATTGAGTGATACTGAGGCAGTTAGTCTAGGAAATCAAGAGTTGATAAGAGCATACAACATGGGAATGCCTCTCAAGTAGTTTGAGGTAGATCAGTCAGTGTTGTAATGCATTCTTCCACATCGAGATAAGGTTGAGTCAAGTCTGCTTCGAACCGACGAGGGTTAATCATCGGGACAAAGGTACTGCCCATTGGCACTTGTGTTTGTATTGATACCATCAATAAATACTATGTACGATTTCTTTGCTTATCTTCAATTGCATGTTTGTACTTGGCATTTTTAAAGTTTGGTATGACGAAGGCATTTTATTCTGCTACTCAAACACTTGTATCTTTTGCTACCCCTTTTGAGCCTTAATTTATTTTGTTTCATACCCCTCTTTTGGAATCAGATATAGAGTTAGGAACTAGAAAAGAAAAGGAAAAAAGAGAAAAAGAAGAAAAAGAAAAGAAAAGAGAAACAGAAGAAAAAGAGAAGAAAAGAAAAAAAAAGAGAAAAAGAAGAAAAAGAAAAGAAAAGAGAAACAGAAGAAAAAGAGAAGAAAAGAAAAAAAAAGAGAAAAAGAAAGAAAAGGAAAAGAAAAACAACAAAATAATCGAACTTTGTGTTGGAAATACGTTCAACCTAATTCCTTCTAAGGATATGTAGGCAGCCTTACTCTGAGGTTTGGTCCCATCAAAGCAAAAATCCAAAAAGAAAATCTCCATACTCTAAGAAACTGGGGTAGAGGTTTTAATTTTAGCCAAAAGAACTGATTCCAAAAGTTGTAATTTTGAACCCTCTCATCTTAAATTATTTTGAGCCTTCATACAACCCTTTCTTTCCAACCCCGTCTAAAAGCCTTTATTACGGTCCAAAGAAAGACCTTCCAACCAATCTTTGAGGATGCCAAATCAAGTGTGTGGTGAAAGTATAATCTTCTTGCATCATGTGTAATACCTTTGCTCTTAGCACAAAGAGAGAAAATGATAAAATGAGAGAGTCTTATCGATGAAAACCCTCATGGTCACCGTAAGGTGACAGTGAGTTGATAAAAAGAGAAAAATGAGAGAGGCTTGATGGTGAAAACCCTTTAAGGCACTACAAGTCGACTGAGGATTGTGGATCAGATAGGACAATTGAAGTGTTGAAGCCCAGTTTCACAACTTAGAGGCATAAAAAGAGTTGTAGATTAGACTCGCTTGACAGATCAGGTCACTTAATCCAAAATGCATGTCATGGTCAGTGGAAATGGCCTTCAAATCCGATTAGTGTTTACTTTGTTTTTTTTCCTGGGTAAAAGTTTTTTCTTGTTAGATACCATCTCTTTTCGTTTTTCTCCTTATTTTGTTCCTCTTGTTTTGTTTGAGTCCCTCTTGAGTTTGCTTTTGTCGAAACAAGTGAAAAATGACTTCAAAATCTGCTACCAGCTTTTTAATCACACAAAGCCGAGTCTGGAAAGCATATCAAAATGGCATAAGACACAGGAGAATAGTGTGGGCACTGAGTTGGTGATAGTAGATGTTCTTTGGGATTGATGTAAAATGCAAAGATTTGGTGAATGCTAGAACATGAGTGCAATGCATCAGGCATAAGGTATTGGACTTGAACGAATCAAGAATATTTCTTGCAATAAGAGTTGTCCAGAAAAGCGGTCGACCGATAACAAGCACTGTCTTCCAAGTTGAAGTCTAAGTTGATCGTGACAAGTGCAAGAGAAATCACCCTCGAAGTCAAGGCCACAAATTAACCACCACGTTTTAAACTCACAAGTTTTATTTGTCTGAAATAAGGATAAAGGCTATGTTCATATCAAAACGTGAATTTTTCAGGTGTAATGCCCCAATTCTGCTTACGCAAAGGCAATTGAGAAGATCACACATCACCCCTAGAAGACGCACTTCGTAGTTTGGGTCTTTCAGGTTATATTTTTTTTAGGAGACGCACTTCCTAAATTGATATTTCATCCCTAAGAGACGCACTTCTTAGTTTTGGGTCATTTAAGTTCATTCCTAGGAGATGCACTTCCTAGTTTGAGTCATTGAAGTTTTACCCCTAGGAGACGCACTTCCTAGTCTGGGTCTTTTAGGTTATATTTTTTGTTTTAGGATATGCACTTCCTAAATTGAGATTTTACCTCTAGGAGAAGCACTTCCTAGTTTGGATCATTTGAGTTCATTTCTAGGAAACGCACTTCCTAGTTTAGGTCATTTGAGTTCATTTCCAGGAGACGCACTTCCTAGTTTGGGTCATTTAAGTTCATCTCTAGGAGACACACTTCTTAGTTTGAGTCATTGATGTTTACCCCTAGGAGATGCACTTTCTAGTTTGGGTTTTTCAAATTATACTTTTATTTTAGGAGATGCACTTCCTAAATTGAGATTTTACCCCTAGGAGATGCACTTCCTAGTTTTGGGTCATTTAAGTTCATTCCTAGAAGACACATTTCCTAGTTTGAGTTATTGAAGTTGCACCCCTAGGAGATGCACTTCCTAGTTTTGGGTCATTTAAGTTCATTCCTAGAAGACACATTTCCTAGTTTGAGTTATTGAAGTTGCACCCCTAGGAGATGCACTTCCTAGTCTGGATCTTTCAGGTTACATTGTTTAGGAGACACACTTCCTAAATTGAGATTTTACCCTTAGGAGATGCACGTCCTAGTTTGGGTCATTTAAGTTCATTCATAGAAGATGCACTTCCTAGTTTGATTCATTGAAGTTTCACCCCTAGGAGACGCACTTCCTATTCTGGGTCTTTTAAGTTATATTTTTTGTTTTAGGAGACACACTTCCTAAATTGAAATTTTACCCCTAGGAGACGCACTTCCTAGTTTTGGGTCATTTAAGTTCATTCCCAGGAGACACACTTCCTAGTTTGAGTCATTTAAGTTTCACCCCTAAGAAACACACTTCCTAGTCTAGGTCTTTCAGGTTATACTGTTTAGGAGACTCACTTCCTAAATTGAGATTTCACCCTTAGGAGACACACTTCCTAGTTTGAGTCATTCAAGTTTTTCTCCTAGGAGATGCACTTCTTAGTTTTGTTCATTCAAGTTTCATCCCTATGAGACGCACTTCCTAGTTTGGTTCATTCTAGTTTTATCCCTAGGAGACGCACTTCCTAGTTTGAGTCATTTGAGTTCATCCCTAGGAGACGCACATCCCAGTCAGGTCTTTAGTTTTACTCTCATCATTGCATCAATAGCATAGGTGATTTACAGTTTTGCTAACAACTCACAAATCTTCCTAGTGAAAACTGGGGCAGAAAATTTTGTCTGTTTTGTTGTTTTGGTTGCATGCACCCACCTAGAAAATGAGGGAAGTCATTTTAGAATTCAATTCAAGTTAGAATAAGCAGAAGCTCCCCTCAAGAATGCGAGTCAACAGTTCGTGATGTCCAAAAGAAGAAGTCTCAATGCAGAATGAAAGAAAAAAAAGTAAATCTAAATGTAGAAGCAGATGAAAGATGTGAACTGCTCAAGACATGGTCGAAGTCACGAGCACTGCATGTCCAGTCTTGATCCGGTGAAGTTATGGAAAAATGAATTAGCACCTGCAACTAGAAAACATCAAGGTTCAAATCAAAAGTATGCATGAAGAACCATTCAAGACTCAAGATCAAGCTTCAGTAGGATTATAGATAGGAATCTTGTAACTCATAGCTGATAGGCTTGCTTAGTTCTTTTAGATTTTGATTTGATGTAATAACAAGACCACGGATCGGAACCTCGACGGCACCTCAATCGGCTCTCCACCTCGGTATACTCCATCACCCTTCTCAATTTTGAACTACACGTGGCATGATTCCTTTATAGCCAAGGATATGTAGGCAGCTCAGATATCAGGGCTCAGATACATTCTCCTTTCTTTTATTTTTTTGTCTCTCTAAATAAGGGTCGGGTCAAAAAAAATATGTCTCGTCGTTCTTTGTCTGAAAACTGTTCGTGTTTCCAGTTAAAGAGGGGCAGTTGTAGATATATAATTTTTGACCCTCCTAGAGATTTTACACATGTTAGCATTCAAATAGTTAGTTTAGGTCTAATATCTTTATTTTATCTAGTTTTGACTCTTTTACTTTATTTTATAACAAAAATAAAAATTACAAAAATATTTTCACTTTGTTTTCAAGAATATCAGTATTTTTGGGTAGTAAGATTATTTGAATTTTGCGATGATTTTAATTTAATCCTATTTTTATTTTTTATTCTTATTTTTATTTTTTAGTATGATATTTGAAAAAAATACCAAAAATAGTTTGTTTTAGCGGTTAGTTTTATTTTAATAATTATTTCTACTTAAGTAGGATTAATTAGTATATGTGGGTAGTTTTTTTATTCTTGTTCAATGAGAAAGAATTAAATTTAGGCTAAAATAATCCATTCTTATGCCAATTTTTGAAATTTTCCCTTAGCCCATACCTCCCACTTCACTAAAAAGAGACCTAATTCTTAACCTAGGACCCCTCTTCTTCACCCTTGCAAGAAAAAAAAAAGCAGTCATCTCTCACACACAAGAAAACCCTAGGACCACTCTTCTTCTTCTCTAACCTAGACACCCTAGGAGCACACTCCCTAATTCCCCATGACCTAGCTGCTACCCCGCCAAAAAACTTGCCGGAAAAAGAATGGCCTCCATCCCCTGAACCACCAAGCCGCCGGCAAACCAGTGGCCTTACCCCCATCCCCAGTTGTCGACCTCTCCTACACAAAGAACCGCCGCCAGTAGCAACCTGGTGTGAGATTGTGATCGAACTTTCTTGTTGCTCAAGCTGCTCAACATATCTTTGATTTGTTCTTCTTCATTAAACTCCCAAAGTGATTCAAATTTGGTTAGCTTCTCAAGTCAAGCAAAGTTTCCCGTGAACCTTTCGATTCTTCGAGGTGTCCTGTTTGCGGCGCTTGGTCAATAGTGTTTCTAGTTCAATTGAGGTCCGATCTAGCTTTCGTCGCTCGTTTTTCAGTCTTGTGCTACCAAACATTTGGGTTTAAAGGTCCAATCCATTTTCTCTTCCCATAAATTCCTTAATTTTATTATGTGATTTTTGTTCGATATGCTTTAATTGTCTGTTCATTAGTATGTTAGTTTGATTTGTTTGTTTCATTTTGTTTGAAATTAGTTTAAAATCTTTAAGAATGTTTCTTGCTATTTTATGAATTCCTAATTGTATAGTGAAGTTAGATTAGGAAGAGCAATGATAAATGTGACATAGGGAGTTTAACAGTGTTAAAGACCAACGAAACAGATTGCTACACTTTTGTTCTCTTAGTTATTTAACCGTTAGCGGCATGTTTAGGCCGTCAAATTTGGGTAGGCAAACTTTTAGGACTTTCGTATTTTAATTTCTTTTGAGGCGAGATGTCGTTTCTTTTAGTTTATTATCCGGGGAATGCCCCGCAAAATTTGTATATATTTTTATCCGGGGTATGCCCCGAAGTATTTGTATTTGGAGGCCGAAAGTAGAACTCGTAGTTTTTCAATATTCATTTTCATTTTTCTTTTATTAGGTGGGAATGACCTCCAGCCTCTTGTGTGTTTATTTTTATTTTCTATATTTATTTTTACCTCAATTTAAATATTTTAAATGCCAACTAGATCGAGTACGCAACCGTGACTTTCACGGGACTCGGGGAATGCTAACACCTTCTCCCTGAGTCAAATAAACCCCCTTATCTAGAACTCTGGTGCAAACTGGTTTAAGGGTCAAATGTGTTTTGAAAGAAAATTGTTATTTTAAAAACGGTGACCTGGCACACCGAAACCAAATGTCAGGTGGCGACTCTGAAAATCCTTTAAAACACCAATTTTGTCACCTTTCAATATTGAAAACCCTTTTTGATCTTTATAAAATCTTTTTATTATTTATAAGAGGGTTAAGTGAGGTAAAAAAAAAGGGTCTGACAGTAATATGTTGATCACTGATGGCAGTGACTGTAGTAGTGTTGTAAGAATTCAAAAAACACCAGACGTAGCCAATATTATTGCAACAACAGTGTTGGAAACCTAATAATTTCTTATAACCATTTAATTTTTCTTTTGAGACAAAAGGTTCAAAGATAGACACATATTGAGTGTTGTTGATGTTAATCAGTTTCTTTAGCCTGTAAATGGCTTTTAGGATCTAACTCCCCTAATATTTCAAAATAGAGCATTAACCATTGAGATCATCTGGGGGTTGTCTTCCTTTTAATTCTTATTGAAGGTTGAGTTATGTTCTTGTATCTTTTGCTATTTTTCTGGTTTCACTTCTTTCTCTCCTTGTATTCTGTTATTGATCTTCTATAATGGTATGGGAATATTGATCTTCTTTCTCAATTCTTGCTGTTTGTTCATCTGTTATGCTCCTTGCAAGCTATCAGAAATGTCATTTTCTTGATTAATATAGTTGCATTCTTCCTTGTTTTCATATAAGTGCACTACCAGTTGAAGCCCCGGTAGATTCCTTATTTCTATTGGGACAGTAGAAGAACTGGGTTCACCACCCTGCTCTTGACTGTGTATCCCCTCAGTTTTGTCTTCTTGATTGGTTTGTATAAGGCTATTTTTCAAATGTTAATCCTCTGGTCTATTAAGCTCATTTAATTCATCATATGTAACCTTGTTGATATTCTCATCTGTTTGTTCCTGTTGACAGGTGTTGTTTTTGTTGAGGGGCTAAGGATACTTTCTTCAATGGATTGCCTAGTAAAGTCATTTTTCTATGATGTTGAGACATATCCTTCTCTTCTTTTGCTGTTAGCCGGCTTGAACACAACTTTACTCTTTTTTGGCATTTTCTCAGTCTTCTTCTGATCTTCTTCTTTCTATTCTTTTTGTTTTTGCAATTGACCTCTTTATTTTGTTGTTTTTGTGTGATTTCTGGAGTCAGCAGATTTTGAGGTTTTTCATTACTGCTCACATTAGCCTTGCTCCCCTCTTGTTCAATGGTTAACTGATTGCCATTTCCTTGATTCTGAGTCTCTTTTTCTTCTTCTTTATTTTCAGTTTTTTTTTCTAGAGCTCTGCAATTGATCATGTAATGACCAATTTTCCTATAGTGTTTACAATATTTTGGTACTCCTTCATACTCCAGTTTTTGAGTGTATCCTTTGAGAGGAGAATCCTCATGATCTTTGCCAACAAATATACTTTGAGGTAGTGGCTTCAACAGGTCCACTTCAACTTAATTTTAGCCATGCTTGGCGTTGTTCTTCCCATAGTTGCAGCATCCAAAGCTAGAGGTATTCCGACTGAGCTTAGAAGTTGTTTAACATAATGTCAATCATGCATATGGAATGGCAAACCAGGCAAGAGAACCCACACAGGAGCCACATGAAAGTCTTCCTCTGGCTTGAAATCTGGAGACCATTTTTGCAATCACATTTGCATACCATCAATTTCAATGACCCTCCAAAACCAAACTGTTTTACAATCATCCTCATTAAATAGGTCAATAAAAACATTATGGTTATCATAAACCCAATTCTCACCAACTCCTTAAGAGGAACAATTTCCTTGAATCTTGACCTAATTCTATTAATTTGGGGGCGGGGTCTTAGGAATCGACCCACAATCGTAAATTTGCAAGATTCATCCATTATGCCATAGTAATCAGAGGCTTTGAAGATGCTAACAGGCATACTAATGTGAGTAGTGTGTCTGGCTCTCGCCTTTTCTTTTTCTTTCTTGAGATCGACTGTCGAAGAACTTGAGGGGGTTGAAGTTTTATCCGCATAAGAGATTTTTCCAGCGGGGTTTCCTTGCATGTGAGAAGAATCATCTTTAGATTGTTGTTGCCCTTCCAGACGCGCCGGTTGGAGGTATCCCGACGGCTCCATCTGGTGGCGCGTGGACCAGACTCGTTTAGAAAATAGTCGTTAGAGAGATGTCTTTGATAAGAGAGAAGAGAGAGTTACTGATACTACTTCTATACATCAAAAATTAACCCGTGACTTACTAGTCACAGGAATAATTTTACCAGTATAAAAGATTTAATACGGTATGGTAAGACTTGAATCTAGGATTTCCCACCAGCTCTAATATCATATTAGTAAATTGTGTGACCACACAATTATTTAATTATATTTTCAAACATAGGCAAACCATATACCACCTCATGCGATCAAAAGAAAAAGCACCAAAGAAGAAATCGCTAATGCTCGTGCTTCGTTGTCCACGTAAATATTATTCAATTTTTCATTTATCATCAATATTATAAGTCCAACAATTTGATGTCATGAAATAAAATATAAACTCAAGGTTATTACATATAAGTAGACGATAGAGAGAATAAAACCATGACAAATAATGCAGCTTTCGTGAGCTTTTATACTTTGACTGGACCAACAAATATAAATGCTACTAAGTGATTAAACCTACATAAATATAGTTCATTGCCAGAAATATCACGTTCCTCATCAGACGCGGAGCCAAGATATCAACTTTGTGAGTTACGAATTGTAGAACGACAATTTCAAGTGTTAACAACTAAGTTCTAAATTTGATATGTATACATATTTAATAAAATTCTTAATACAAATACATTGTTGGAACAAAAATAAGTGCGTTCAACGGAACCCGACACACAAATAATTAGCTTCCTTGTTCCTCACAAAGGCAAATGTGTGTATATGGAGATAGATATATAATAAGTAGGTGGTACTTTAGAAAGAGGAGAAACAATCATTTTCAGAAGAGTTTGAATCATCACAAGGAGAATGGTTGTGTCTACCTTCATAGGTTGTTATTACCATACGACAATCTTCTGAAAGTCGTTCAACTCTCTTCTTTACTCGACAATTGCTATGTGTACATCTGTAGTAACTCCTGCAATATATAATTAATTTGTTTACCAAGAATATACTCTGTTAATAAAAGTACACGGTATTTTTGCTGATGAGACACCCCATAAAATTAATGAAATTATTGGCAAAACCCGTACACAGAGTTTTTGCTACTAAATACTAAACAGGAACATTTACATACTAAATAATATCATCTGACTAATTAATGTAAGACACTCAAATTAATTACTTACCTAGTTTGTAGATGTCTCATCAGAGAAGTTAAAATTGAATTGAAACCAATTCAATTTTAAACTAAAACTCATAAGTCATAATCTCTCTTTATTCTAACTGGGCCAGAAAACAAAACGAAGAGCGACAAAGAGCTTATTTTTGCAATTAAATCTTTTAGCAGAAAAATTAAAGGGAATTTATTATTCGGCAATAAGTCCAACCTTTGAAACGTTAAGGCATAAGCAGAAGCATATTCTTGATATGTCAAAACACTGTTAAAATAAACCCTACGGAGTATATAATATCTAGTACACTCAATTAAAGATATGCTACTTATTTATGGAGGTAATCCTATTATCAATGTGGAAGCTTATTAGCTTATAAAAAAAGAATTCAATCGCACTTAAGGGGGTGTATTGAAAAAATATAATTATGTAAACAAAAATGTACCATCTCTAATAACTTGAGCTTTTAGATGAGATTATGCAATGATAAATATAATTAAGTAAATAAAAATGTACCATCTTTAATAGTGTGAGGTGAACTTTTAGATAGGATTATGAGATGATCACATGATTCAACAAGCACAATTTGTATTGCATTTGAATGCATGAACATCTTGGTTAAATAGAAAAATATTCAGTTTGACTTTTATTTTTCAGAATTACTATTTTGGTGGCTAGTTTGAGATGTTGGAGAGAGCATAAACGAGACCTACCCCTTAACCACCCCCTACCCTCCCAAACACACACACAAAAGGAAAAAGAAAAAGCCCTTTGTTAGCCCAAAGGATAACTGTGTGGAAATTTGGCTAGCTATTTCAAAGAGGGACTCAAGTTTAATGGATGCATTTTTTTAAATTTTTTTTTTTTTTTTTTTTTTTTTTTTTTTTTTTTTTTTTGCATCAACCCCTAACATGTATATTAATGTCATACAAAATACAAGAAGGGGGACATAAACTAAAACCTCCGCAAGACTTAGTAAAGAAGTAGCAAAAACTGTCCTGAACGTTAAGTAGAAACCTTGATACCATGATGATGTCGAAACTTAAAGATGATGTCAAATTTCCGTTTGGATAATTATGCAAACGTCTCATTATACCCTGATGTAATATTTTATTCAAGTGAAATTTACAAGTTTCAACAAGTCAAATTATATGCTACTAATAGCCTTTCATTATCTAATTGTATGATTGATTGAGCTCATGATTACAAATTTGTAAATTTCCAGTACGGAAGAGAATTATAAATATTTAATTCCTCATAAGAAGTTAATTGGAACTGTTCAATTTTGTAAAGGAAGTAGGGAATATAATGTGTATTTCTCTAGCAATAGTATTTCTTATATACTAACGACAAATTTGTTACTTATTATCCTTTCCTAACTTTTTGTCTTATGCATTCAAAAAGTTTAAGAAGATAATTCAAGAAAATAACTTATCGACTTGTTTGGATAAGAATGTGCGGAGATGTTGCAGCCAAATTATTTTCAGAAATAATCTAGTTGAAGAGAGAAAGCCTAAACTACTTTCTATGGTGAATATATATAGTCATTACTTTAGAAAATGGTTATGGATTAAACTTAGATATGTTGAGAGTGTAAACAATTTTCATATTATCAGTATAACTTATTTTTTATAGCAGGTTGTCTGTTTTATTGCCTAGGTCATTATGTCCAACGGACTTGTACTTGTAGTTATTATTAGGGGTGTACAAACCAAACCGGAAAATCGCACCAAATCGAAAAGTCAAATCAAACCAATTAAAAAATCCGATTATGTTTGGTTTGATTTGGTTTGGTATTGACTAAAAAAATTCGAACCAAACCGACATATAAATATATAATTTATATATATACTTTTAAGACTTTTTCATAGAATTTTCTTTAAAAAATGTCTATAAATATTTAAGATTCTCTTATGGGATGCAATATTTAGTAAAATATGAAGTGCTCTATCTTTATTAACTTTAAATAATGGGTTGTATGATCACTTTCTTATCAAGTGTTAATGAAATGTGTCAATCTCTTTGTTCTTCCATATTCATAGATCTATTACATTCTTATATTTTTGTCGAATTTGAAGTGGTATTTTGATAATTTGAAATGAATATATTATTATATAGGCATCATATTGATTTTATGTTTAATTATTAAATTAAGTTAACCTTGAAAATGTACATCAACGAAAAATTATATATTGTTAGACGACTAAAAAAATGACTATCATATATTACTAAGAAAATTCTCCCATAAGAATATGTTAAGAGATCACACGTTTGATAATTTTTTTAATTTTTACTAAACATATATTTGCTTATCAAAAATTTAACCAAGTAAGATTGAAATAATATTTATGTAACAAAAAAATCCAGGAAACCCAAAAAGCCCGGTAAAACCGAACCAATCCAAATCAATATAGTTGGTTTGATTTGGTTGTGATAAAACCGAACCAACCCGGTCCATATACACCCCCAAGTTATTATCATTACTTAGGTGACTTGACAGTATACAAGCTTGTTCTTTTCCACCATCAATTATGTCGAAAATAAAAACTCAATGTTTGTTAATTAGGGTAAACAATTAAGTAAAGATGATTACGTACCTTGGATGAAGGCTATTCTTGACAACTTTTTGACCATACTTTCTCCATTTGTAACCATCATCAAGAACATCAATATCACTCCTTGTTTGGAAACAAAATCTCGGCTCTCTCAACTTTCTTCTCACTTTCACCTTCCCTGAATTCCTCCACCTACATATATAATTAATATTCGAATGAGCTTAACTAATTTTGAAAAATTTATATATATATA